ATGTAAGTTTGTAACAGATCGAAGCTGTCGTTTAGACTCTCCACGTCATTTGGACAACTTACTGGTAGGTAAGAGGAAATAACAGCAGCTCTGTAAGGGCCACCACCACAGTCACCACTGTTTTTATGTAAGGCCAATCTTACTGTGGTGGTGGACATTGATAATGTCCGAACCACCCGACCAAGTGACCCATTTTCATTTCGGACTGCTCTGATGATCAAACAGAGATGTAACCGTGCATGGTTCGCAGTTCGCACATCAGCCCCCCAGAATACATAGAAAGACGGCGCGTGGAGAAAATTAGGAGAGGCTGGTGTGGGGTGTTGCTCTTTTGGCTCTCGTGGATAAATTTTGGAAGGAGAGGCTGATGTGGGGCGTTGCTCTTTTGGCTCGCGAATTACACCACCACCTGGGTCCGCGCTGATGGATCGGCACACTGGCGCACGGGGGCCGGTCAGCCGTCGGTCGGGGAGACGAAATGAGCACCCACCGGGACCGAAATGAGACGCCTTCTCTCCCCATCTCCTCTGGTGCCGACGGCCGCTGAAAACCCGCTGAACCTGGCGCTGACACGAGTCTAGATGGGATGGCTGAATATGGTGTCTGCGGCGCTGAATTCGGGCGCTGAGATGTCTGTGAGGTGCGGGTTCAGAGGAGGCCGGCAGGAAAGCGGGTGTCGAAGGCGATGTGTTGGGATAGCTGGAGGGGTACTCGCCAAAAGGCCTCGCGATGGGGCTTGATGGGCGCAGTCTGCCGCTCCCCCGAGCAACAGGCGCCCCAGTGGAGCTCGTGCGGTGCCCCGCGGCGTCGGAGGGCCCGGGTCAGACAGGTGACGATGGATTGGCCACCGGAGACAGGCGGGCATGATGTATGGCCGACCCGTGTTGACGGCCGGACGGTGGGCTGGGGCGGCGGTCGATGGGAACCCGGCGGAGATGTCGCCGCCGACGCCGCCCGATCCGGCCGGTAAAAACGACGCACTCCGAGGATGTCCAAAGAGAGACGAGGGTCATTTTATACGGTCAGTGAGACGCGTAACGCGCGTGAAATATGGTCTCAGGTTCACTGATTTCATTTTGAAGCTAGCGGCGTGAAAAACGATTGGCAACGACGCAAATATGGCTCCAGGTGCTATTTATCTCAGTGGGAGCTCTATCGTCGATAAGTGCGTCAAGGGTGCGTGATGAGCCGATTTAGTTCTGATCTGACTTGTTATTGCAATCCATTTTATCAGTAGCTCTATTCACCTCCCTGGACTGCCTGTCTGGTCTGATAGACGTCAAAGGTCTATCCACCAGGTGGCATTAGCGCTTCACTTCATAGCCATTGTAGATGGCGCTCAGGTCCTTTGTAGGTGCTCTCCCCGCAGTAGCTTTGCTACCCAAGTTAAGTCACCTTGACGCTCTCCACAACAGCGACGGTCTGACGGCAGTGTCATTAGACCGGTCAGCTCTAGCGCAAACTGTTCAGCTCTAAGAGACAAACTCTTTGTTGCCGGCTCGAAGAAGCCTCATGGCTTCTTGGAAGTCCATGGTGAGTCAAATTCAATTATGATAGGTAGGTACTGGGACTAATAATAGGTAATTTGTTACTTTGTGAGCCATTGTTCCCCCATGTTCATTTCATTTTATGTCAGATTGTGTTAAAACAATGGCTGCGTCCCGCGTCATACAGGGTGTTCACTAAAAATTGACACAAAGCTTAGCAGGCTGTATCTTCGGTAAAAATGTACCGATTTAAACAAACGAGGCATTGTTGTAATGCACATTGCATCTGCTGCAAGCCGTAGAGCGTCAACAGGTTTGCCTGATCCCCATAGGTCATTTTCTGGACATTTCCCTGAAAGTGTTGTCACAAGCTCTGGCACCAGTGGACCGTGATGTTGGCCAGTTGATGGTGGTAATGAGCAACCAGTTGATATTTTGTATGAAATCGAAAGACACCAACATACGTTATAGCCTTAGGCAAATAACGTTAGATACTCATTTGTCAGATTTCAGGCGTGGAAAATGTCTTATCGGGTCTCGTTCCAATGGGAATTTTTACATCGGCCGGGGCCCTCAAGGCGCCCCTTGGTTAGTGTGCTGGCGCGAGGTCGGACCAGAAAATCACCTTCTGGTTACATATGTTGTTCTGCATGAACCTCCAGTGCTTAATAATACACTTGGCTAAAAAAGTATCATATTGTAAAGGACCAGTCTGGAGGAATAAAGTCGAACTGATGATATTCTCTGAAATAACACATACACCACGGCATCCAGCGTTAGCTTGCATGCTGACACTGAAATGGACATTAGCCAGGTTGTATCATCGATCACATCACAACAGAACACTCCATTGTCTAGCTAATTGTCGCCCTTTAACTAAAAACATGATTTTTCTACCTTAAATAGTTTAACTTTTTTCTGCATTTTTGTCCCTTTTTTGACTATAGCATATTTACTTCTCTGGCCTTATGTTGTTCCCAGTCGCATCGAGAAATCATTTGCGCCGGTTGTAACTCAGCCTAGTCTCAGGTGTGATATATCTTCTTCGCTTAGGCACAATTAATACCTTACTGATCAGCAGCATTGCGCCGTGAGGTGTCAAAAAGCCCCTCCACGTGCACTTTCGGGGCCCCGACCCTTCCTCAGGTCAATATCTTCACAATTACACCACTTCAGCTTTTCGGACTCCCACACCCTCTAGAACGTTCGTCCCACTGTACGGTATGTAACTAATTTTGACATTTTAAGTTTTCATTAGGTATTTGTACGTGCCAAACTCTCCCATTGACGTGCTATTTTCGGAAAGCCTGCCAATGGGCTTTTGGTAGTCCTTGTTTAAAACGACCTCCAACGCCACTGTTTTCATTACATCCGTGAAATTTTATGCTCGGTATGATAAAAACGTCCCTTTTATCTCTATGCTAAGTTGCATCGTAATAGCTTGCTTCACTTTTGATATGCAGCCATTCAAAGTTTGTGTCAATTTTTAGTGAACACCCTATATTTCCTCGTTAGGTGAAAATCGTACTCAAATGCGTTACAGACCTTGCTTCTCCGCCTCACAGTCACGCGAGGCAAGTTCTAACTCTAAAGTCTACAGTGTGGGTCTGGAAATCACACAGCGTAGCAGCGACCTGAGGTGACTCACTTGTCTTTTCATGGCTATGGAACAACCAAAAGGCGTCAGAAGGTCCGACACAAATTGTAACGGAGCCCATGGAGCACTTCTCATTGCTGTCAGCTGACTGACGATCTATGGCTGCCAACTTCTGTACCGACATATGGCTGCCAACTGAAGAACGATCGTGGTCGGAGTGGCATGATACCCTCCATCATGACCAATCGGTGCATCCGTCTTACGTCTACCGAAATGGACCGGCATGCGGACAGTTGGAGAAAATAGACCCCATACCGGCGGACTGTTGCAGGGCGGCCCTGAAGGCCGCGCGCGGGGTCCTTTCACTGTCCTGTTGGCTACTGGAACTGCCGACATGGGACGGAGCGAGCTGCACTTTTCCGGCCAGCCGCCGCGGCGCGGCCCGATATGGTCACGGATTTTTCCATCGACGCGGCCTTGCGCTCCATTTGTTGATGGACTGCTTTCTTCTATTGTGAGCACAATGGCGCCCGAGGAAGTGGTTGACTGGGCATGGCACCGGCTGGTCGGACTGTTAGCGGTTTTGTCTTATAGTTCCAGGACACTGGTGTTACCGTCAGTTTTTGGTCTTAGATAGGACATTTGGTTTTATGTTAGAAGTTCAGTTGGTGACTCGCACGAACACTTAATAACGCCCTCCGTTCGCAGAATAGTGTTGAGTATTAACGTGTGAACTATACATAGGACTAAATGGTTCCTGGAATGTAGTTATTTAAGTTCCGCTTAACAACAAAGGTGGCACCTAATGGGCGATGAGCCTTCACAGCAACCAGAGCCTGGGGCCTGAATAACTACGCGACTATCAACACATTCCAAGAATCATCATTGAGCGCCTTGTTTTAATGTGCTGAAGCCGGATAGACCCAAAATCAGACAATTAGCCAAGCAAGTGACAATACCAAAGCATTATTTCATTGATATTTGATATCCCTTTGATATCCCTCTTTATAATATACCCACAAAATATCGATACCTGTAATGCCCACGGTCTGGTGGTTAGTGGAAATAAACGAAGTAATAATAAGTAATAATAATGTCATATTGTTTACATATTTGTGGCGGCCGGTCGGCGTAGTGCGAACAGGAGAGCATGACAATATATTCCCTTGACTTATCCCACTTATTTACGTTGTTGCAACAAGTAGCGACTGAACGCAGAACCGGCTTCGACCTATCCTCACGATTGATGCCCTTCAGTCAATGACCCCGAAGCCAATCAATTAGGCATTCTGTGCCGCAGAAAGTGCCTCTGACCCCATCCAAGGCACGAAGCTGCCCTGAACTCGATGGCTCGGTGGCAGTAACTGCGCCAGTAAGTGCCGCAATGGTAACGGCGTCAGTAAATGTCGCAGTAAGTGCGCCAGAAAAAGAAGCAATAACCGTGCCGTATCTGTCTTGTGACTGCCGACAGGGTTTCTCCGTAGCAGGTGAAAGTACCCAAGCTGTCGCCCTTAGTGTGAGGCCGTGTATGAAGTGTTTGAAGCTGTGGCTCGTCCTCTAAATCTAACCAATAATGACCATAGGGACTGCTGTTCCAATAGTTTCCAGGGTATACCCAAGGCCCCTATCTGTCTCTGCGTCTTTCGTTTCGTGGTTGGACGTCCTGCAGTTTGGATGTGAACCGTGGTGACTCTGAGCTTGTTGTCCCGTGTGTACTGTGTAGTCTGCTGACGCGAGTATTTTGCTGTGAGCTTCTCTGATGAATGATGATACGCCTAGCTAACTCTGTATATTGTGGTATCTTTGAGATCGTCGTACTTTCTGTGCATTCTGACACGGGTGTGCCTGCTACGATATTTCTATAGCCACGTAATTATGCTCCCTGGGTAGTCTAACCTATGCTTTTTCCGCCACAGTGAGTGCGCCGCTGCTCCGTCGGAGAAACTGGACCCAGCTGGCCGGCCGGCGGCTCCGGCAGCTGGAGGAGGGCTTTCTGAGCCTGACGGTGGGGCGGCCCGCCCCCGCCGCCGCCCCCGCCCAGCCGCCGCGCCGGCCGCCCTGGTCCTTCTGCTCGGCGCTGCTCTACTGCGTCACGGTCATCACCACAATCGGTAGGTCTGTGCTTCTGTGACTGACAGCAGCGAATGTCACATGCGGAATGTCGGTTCCTTCACAGGAATCGATTCGCTCATGTCGCCATTGGCAGGAACTTATGTGTAACATTGTTTGTCAAGATGTAAATTGACACTACAAAAATATGTAGATTCGGATATTCCCAATCGCTTCATATCATGCGAATTTACGTAGAGAACAACGGGTGCCTTTGGAAAAGTAAACGGCGAAACATCACGCCACACAGCCGAACCAGAACCTTCCGACCAAGCGTCTTATACTTACCTTCACAAACAGGACAATTTACCTTCGCTCATCCATATATGGCAGTCTTTTACCCCGGCATTCTTTGAAAGTGGAGGAAACCAAGGCGGCGTCGCTGGTCTTCACCGGTTTTGCCCGGAGCGTCGGCCGGGCGCGGCGCTTTTCGCCTACCCACACCGGAGCGGGTATCGGTCGCCACACGGGTTCTCATGTCGGCAGTCGCGTGTCTAACCATAGCGTGTGCATTTGACACGTCGGATCAGATCCAGAACAGCCGTCGCGGCCGGCGACGTCATGCAATTGTGCTGTACTGTTTCCTTCAGTGGTCACCGCTCCACCCGGTCCCCGAGCGATCAGCTGACGGTAAACAGCCGACCAGAGTCGCGTGCAGACGGCACCCGTCCGCGGCCGGATCGGGTGGGAACTTTGGCAGCCAGCAGCGTCCTGGTGCAGGACGATTCCCGTTAAAGGTGTGGTCGCTGCCCAGAACACAACACATACGGCTCGATGTCTCCTGTGGAATTTTGTGAATACGTTATGCCGTTGCCATGCGCCGGTGCCCCCAAAGAAGCTCTGTTTTACATCACGCACTTCAATTTGACTATCATGAGATCACAAAACGTGCCGCCAACACCAACCAGTGCTGTTGGGATGTGCAAATTCGCCACGTGCTGAATCCCGGCTCGCTCTGATTGGGCGTGTCATGGATCAGCCCATGAGTCTACTGTCCACCCCAAGACACGAGACGACCCAGCATCGACCGCGCATACATGCATACTGCATACTCTGGGTCGCAATGAGCTTCCCAGAAGCCCGGACAATCATTCGGTCGGTCAAGCCGCATACATCACAGTTGTCCACTGCTTTCTGCTGACGTCTGCTCAGCCATTGAGAAACAGTGGTCACAAGTGAAGTAGGTACCCCGTTCGTACATACACCGATCTGAACGACAGAGGCGGGGAGGGGGTGTGTGAGTGAGACGGCATGAGGCGTCGGCAGTCGGTCATTTCACACACGTGCCACTGCCGCCGGGTTCTCACGTCGTCAACCAGCTCCCACGCCCGAGTCTCGGTCTCGGTTTCACTGGTCCACTTCCGTTACCCAGTCACTGGGCTCAGCCGCCGGCGGCGTATCACATTACAACTGCTGAGTGGAGCTGACCGAAGTGTTGCGGAAATGTCAGAAGGGTGGTAAGATGCTGACAGCGACTGCCGACTGGGCTGAGTTGAGGATGAGACATGCAAACAAAGCGGAAGTAGCAACAGTTGAGGCAGCGTATGTTAGATTCAAATCAAATGGAGCGTAAGTTCTATCATTTTTTTACGTGAAACTGTGATAAGCGATGATAGAGACGAGAGAATAAGCATACGCTTTAAATTGGGTATTAAAACTGTAATTGAGCTTCTTCGACATAAACTTGGATTGATAACGTCTCCAGTCAAGTAGATTGATCTCTTCACGAAATACTGGCTCACTGTGGTCTTTCTTTTCGGTGTCAGACCAGCGTGAGAAAATAGGAAAATAACATTTCACGAAATCAATTTTCATGTTAGTGTGGGATCCCTCCGTCCGAAATGAATATGTTATAAACGGGCTAAGTGACAACCAAACAAACCATTTTTTGTGTTTTGTGAAAACGTCTCTCTTACAAGAACTCTCCCTTACAACAAAAACCAGTCAACAAAATGACAAACAAATGTGCATCACTGAGAAAAGAAGTGCACGAATCGGGGATTTACTTGCACCAGAACAAAATCTGGTGCGTAGAATATACATTTTTACATTTGCGTCGCCCGTGGTGCCTGAGGGACATTTCCATTTGCTACTGCATAAGTCGACTTTCATTTTCTGTCTGCTCCAGCCTTATGCACCGTCCCTTTGTGCATGGATTCACCAACAAATTTGATGAAAAATGGTCATGGTATTGTTCGCCGCGTCCTTCAAAGCTTCTTCCACGAAGTTTCTAGGGTAAAGGCCTGTTCCTGGTGGGAAAAAGGGACGATCACGCGTCAAAACCGGTCGGTTTAGCATCGAAAGGGGAAGATGGTGCCAGGCGCCGACGGCTTCTGTGACCATGGCTGTTGTCAATATGGGCATTTTAGCGTCAGAGCGCTGGACTGGCGTCATCCGGTGGCCATGTAATGATCACGTGATGAGCATGTGATGACAACGTGCTATGTAGTGCTCTATGTCACTGCTTAGTGTCATCGTGATTTAAACGTGACATGGCTGGAACGACCATATTGGTCAGTATAATTTTCATCATCAAAATTCTGCTTTCTGTGGTGCTAATTCCGTTTTATAGCTGGGAGAAAGCAAAGGCATTGAAATTAAAATAGTTAATTTCGATAAACATTTCACTCATTTTAGTACTACTGAACATAACAAACTGATGTTTTATAGCGTCTTCACACGAGCTTTAAATTTTAAAACTGTTTGCATTCAATCACTTTCCAGACAAGTAAAAATGTTTTTGACAGTGCAGTCATTAAAATTAGTGACTTGATCGAAGTAGTTTCAACAATCGTAAGAGCCCAGCTCATTTTATTATGATCAAACAGAGACCTCTGTACAACTCTGTTTATAACATAGACGGTAGGTATGCAGAGGTTTATGGATAAATAAAATCAAACCCACCTAAAGATTAACCCGCGCCCTGATGGGGGGGGCCATTTTGGCCCCCCCTGTGGTTTTCCTTAAATAGCGAGAAAACGGCGGCGCGCAGCGCCGCCAAATTTTGGGTACCTTACCGGACATCAATTTGACACCTTCACACAAAATTTCAAGTCACAGGTCACCTCAGGTCAGGAGTTATTGAGGTCAAACTGAGGTCATGTTCGAGTAAAAATGAGCAAAAAACATGACATCTTGAAACGCACACCAATTCTACAGTTAACAAGCAATTTTAAAGTTCTTCATGTGGTTGTGTAGAAAAAAGGCGGCGCTACAAAACTGCTATCTCGGATTTTCGAAATTTTTGGATTTTGACCCCCAAAAATAAAAAAAATTGATTTTTTTAGAAAAACTCAAAAAATTTCCAAAAAATTTTCGAATTTCGAAAAAACCGGAATATATGTGATAGCCCCTGCGCTCTTCGATATACATACCAAATTTTAGATCGATACCTCTTTTTTTGGCCAAGTTATAGCGAAAAAACTGTTAAAAATTGATGACGTCAAATTTTTGAACTCAATTTTTAGCAATTTTAGACCTCGTAGCGCAAAACGGAGACCACCATTGAACTCCCCGTGACGAGCTGCATCGAATCGATACCCATTTTATGCAAAAATATCAACTTTGAAATTTGACCTAATTGGACCTGACCTTGACCTGACCTTGACCTGACCTTGACCAAAACGTGACCTAAGCTGGCCCTAAAGTCTGTCTGACCCACATAATCGCATTTGTGATGTAAAATGGACCATAAAACATGTATCACACGACACTTTCATATTGTGACCCCCCAGTGACCTGACGTCTGTGACCTGACCTGGTATCAGTGACCTCAAATAGCAAAATATGTGTTTGAAGAACATTTCCCCATCGATGATTTTCAATGAAATGCATTTTACACGATTTTACAACGCATTTCTTGAAATGCCTGTAAACGGTGAAAATTCGACCTTTGACCTGACCTGTGACGTCATCGGTTTGCCCGAGGTCAATGAAATTGGGTCACAAGGTAGTTCCCCGTTGGGGCTATCCAACACCGTCTGGCTGGTGTAGCCAGTAGAAACACTGTAACATACAGATATCTCTTGTATTTCGCCACAAAATCGAGACATATATAGTTTTACATACGAACTTACTTATCTAGTATTGCACACATGTTGGCGAGAACATCGAATGTAATAAACGAATACATATGGTTTTCAATATACACATAGCCAATGCAGTTGTCCAAACAATACAGCAGTTTAAGCGAACGGAACGTTAAAAGGGGGGCGCACAACTTAATCGAAGGCTCTTAGCAATTTAGAGACTGGTAAAAGCGACACCTATTAACAAAACTGTAACTAGCGGTTCACAGCATCTAGCGGCGACCGGCAGAAGCAACATGGGCCTAGCGGTGACCGGCAGAAGTACATGGCTACATCACTCCCCCGCCCTAGTTAAACACCATAAAAAGATGTTTGGCGGCGAGTACGCGACGAACGGCGGAGAGGGGGTGGCGAAGCAGGCGGCGGGTCCGGCGGCACGCGGCGAGCCGGGCGAGAGCCGCCGGGGGCACCTGAGCGGCTGGGTGCAGGCGATGCAGCAGGCGGGCGGTCCACCGAGCTGTCTGTCGCTGTAGTAGGCGTGTCGTTCACCAGGACGTCCGGTGCTGCAGGCGGCGTTGCGGCAGGCATGTTGTCCGTGAAGGCCGGTTTACACCGAGCCAGGGTGACGGTGTCGCGTCGCCCGAGACGGTCGATGGTGGCGGTGTGCTGGTCGCGGGATAGGACACGATAAGGACCGTCATAGACGTATTGGAAAGGAGAGCGATGCGAATCGCGTCGGATGAAGACGTGGGAGCAGGTTTGCATGTCTTGAGAGATGAAGATTTGGCGGGAGCCAGGACGAGGAGGAGTTGGACGGAGCTCCGACATGGCGGCACGGAGACGAGAGGCTAGGGAAGCCGGATCAGAAGAAGTGTCCGACGACATGGGGGAGAGGAAGTCACCAGGAAGTCGGAGACTGCAACCATAGACTAGGTCTGCAGCGGTGCATCCGAGATCCTCCTTGAGGGCCGTGC